CCCGACGATGGCGTTGGCGTTCACATTAGGGGGTTTGGCCGCGACGAGAATCATGGAGGCAGTGTGTTCATCTGTCAGCTTGCCTCGGTATGGCTGATTTGGCAGGATGTCACAGACTTCCGCGGGAAGGTAGTTTGACTTCATGCCGCCTACGTCGACCAGTGGGAGATCAGGGAATTTCAAGGTGATCTTGTACTCTGTTGGATGTAAAGATTAGCAGATATGACCGCGACGGAGAGAAGAATGGCAAACTTTTTTTGAAGTAAGTCTCCACTGTCACCTTACCCCCGAGTTCGGCGCAATCGAAGCTGTACTGGCGGGCAGTGACATGCGTCAATGCTTTCACTGTTTTCCGGTAGCCCAAATGCGTTGCTGTGACCCTGACACCCTTAACAAAAACGTTCATGCGAGCACCGAAGCTCGAGTCGTTGAACTCCTGCATGGCCCGGGCCAAATTTCCAGGAATGTAGAATGCCGTCGTGCACACTGCGTGCATCACGTTAGCACTGAATGTAATATGGACAGGATCGTACCGTTAACATTGACCATCAACTGATTGTGGGCCGGACGGACGGACGAGTAGAAGCCCTTCCAGGCCTCGAGACCTCCCCCAAGAGACACAGTAGCAGAATCTGTTGCTGGGAAGAAGTACCTGTTACGTCCGACCATAACGCCGCTGCCACCAGAGCGATTCGGATGGGCAGCAAGAATCACGTTCAGGGCAGCGATGACGGGCAGTATATCATATCCCCTGTACTGGGGTTGACCTGCAAGATAGCTAGAAGCGGGGGTAAGGGTGATCCAGGCGCGGGATGTAATGAACCATGCCTAAGGAGACCATGTGTATCGATGTTGCGGCTGAACTCGATGGTGAGGACGTATTCCTTGCCATTTGGTCTGGGCCCGTCTTCGTCCTCGTCAAAATATGGAACAGTGATGCGGAGAGGCTGAGGCAGCTTCTTCGCGGCGATCAGTTTACTGGAGTGGTCATGGGCAACATTACCCAGAAGCCCATTGCGAGCCCAGTCGCGTGACTGTTCAGCGAGCTGGAAAATACGCCTCTTGACACGGCGCATGGCGGTCTGCATTGTCGGCGAAATGGTCACCTCGTATTCGTAGAGGGGCCCCTTCGGTACCTTTACAGGGAAGAAATTGGCCCGCAACTTGATCTCCTTCCCCCGCGTACCAAAGTCGGGTCGCAGAGGAAGGTCATCGCGTTCCAGTTTGATGCTGCGGAAAGCAGCAACCAATGCTTGCTCAGAGTTGTCCGTCAGACGGTCGTCAATCTTTGCAGGCTGGCCGGCAGCAAAAATACTACAGGGCCGTTAGATAAGGATTAAGGCCAGAGTCTCAGAGATATTGCACGCACCCTCCCGCTTCTCGTGGACCGCCGCCGCGACCGCCGCGGAAGCCACCGCGACCGCCATCACCACCTCTATCCCCGCCTCTGAATCCGCCTCTATCCCCACCTCCTCTGAAGTCACCGCCTCTGAAGCCACCACCGCCACCACCTCTGTAGCCACCTCTATCTCCCCCGCTGCCTGGAGGACCACCGCCTCGGCCACGGAAATCAGGGCTCCCTCGCCCAGGAGGGGGACCGCCACGGCCGCGCCCGCGATCCGAACCGCCACGGTAGCCTGACATTGGTGCAAACAAGCTTCAGGTAGATGATGATAGGAAATGGAATGTTATGGAATCTTCAGGAAGAATAGTTTGCGTTGTTGTGTAGTATACGGGAATAGCTCTTTCAACCAGCTCCAGAAGACGTCTGACTGATTCTGGTGGGAAGGGCTGAAGCAGAACAATTGAGGGCACACGCCTTTTGTGGACCTACGGTTACGTAATGCGCAGGTCGCCGTCGGCCGTGGTTTAAGGTGGGCCGCTCAAATCACGCCAACAGGCAGCCCAGAATCCCGTATGAAGCACCCCGGGCACAAGGAGCGTCTGTCACACCGGATGTCACTGGTTTACGATGCTCCTTAACTTGAAACGAAACTATTAGTATTGGATTGACTTTCAGAAATTTGTCAAAACAATAGTTTCGGGCCTCCTCAAACTATGAACTGAGCAACCTGATTGGTCACTCATAATTTAAAACCATTAGTTTAGGGCGTTTTCTGAAAGTCATTATGATACTAATAGCTTTGCTTTAAATTCATGACCACCGTAAACGACTTCCCGGTGTGTGTAGATTCGGGCGATAAGCCCGAGGCATCAGGGAAGTGTTCTCCCACTCCTCGCGCCATTTTCCGGGCGTCATCCCATATTGTCAATACAGCACTAGCACAGTGTCTGGTGCCCGCCCGCCCATTGTCCGCTCATTTCCACCTATGTATGTCAGTAAAATACAAGAAATTAATTCTGAGTAATTGAACTCGGAAGTTGGATGTAGTTTGAACTTGGATCGCCAGCATACATGATACAAAGGGGAAACAAGTTGGAGGGAGAAGGTGAAATGTGCATGCTGAGAGACTTGTTGTATCTGTCATATGATTTGTTAGTAGTCTGAAGCCTCGCTATGTGTGCTCATGCTGGATTGCAAAAACAAAGAACTTGTGCTTTGAAGTAAGTTACGCCATCAAATCTAATCTGCCACCGCGCCACAACCGTTCTCTTGCAACCATGTGTGCATTTTAGAACTGAGTCTTCTGGTCTCATGAATAATTTTAAAGGATATAAGTCAGCAGAGATGGTCCATGAATTTTAAGTTGGAATTTGTCTGAGTACTGGCACATACATAATACTAATGTATGCACTATTCACAAACCTTAAAAACTCTCCAAATTGACACTGGACATGCAAGGGGACAGGCTTGGGGTCCTCCCAACGGTATTGTGCCGGGGTGACATTTCGGTACGACTTCCGCGATGCCTCGGGGTTCTTTTGATGACCCGAATGGTACCAATCGACTCAACACTCCCCCAAGGTTCCTGATGTTTCGTGTTCCAATATAGACATTCAAGGGTGCTAATAGAGTCTGCCATCGGATAGTACATCACACGGACAGTGGCAGACACTGGCCCACTCGTGGCTTGACGTTGAACGGACGGTAGCAAAACATGATGCCCTAATTCTCCTCTGCCTTAGCTAAGATCTGGTTCTGGACAACTAGAAGAAGGGCATAGAGCATCTCCACGCGCTGAAGATCACAATGTTAATCCTTGAAATATGAATGGCGAGCGCCAACTCTCACAGGCATAGAGACTCCACGTTCTTGGGCCATTCTCACGGTCTCCCCAAGGATAACCTCGACCTCAATAGGCAGGCCCTTCTCAACGTCAAGCATCATGCTTGGCTTGTGCTTGCTCTCCGGAACCACGTGGAGTTTGCGCGTGTTCTCGATTACATCGTCAACGACCGAAGCTGGAAGGCCATCCTTATCGTCCGGATAACCAAGCGCGCGGCCTGTATTAATGAAAATTTAGTGAATCTCGTGGCGTAAGCTTAATCATACATACCAAGCACGAGGAGCTCTTGGAGTGTAGCTCTGATAGTGGGGATCGTGTGCTTCGCGATAAGGTCCGCGGTCGTCGGCGATACATAAGGAGAATAAGGGGAGGAAGGATCTGTGGGCGGAGGTCGGAATATGGCTGGGAGTCTATGCCTGAAATATCGTCAGTCTCATCATTTATCATTTCGGCCGGAAAGTCAAATCACACACTGTGTGAGGGTAGCGAAGGAAGAGAACGAAACATTCCAAAAGTTCTTTGCAAATTTGAGGCGCTGAACCTCTCCGACAATCGTTAGTTCGGTGCCGCCAGCGCTGAGTATCTGTCCGATCCCTTCCAAAATGTGGGCGTCCAGACGGGTGATATTGTCTGTGGTGAAATCATTGAGACGATACATTCCCATAGATATTCTATCCTATAATCGAAGAGTTTGTAGTCATATTCAGTGGTGGATGGTCAAATGCCTCATTTTTCCAAAAAACAAAAAAAAGAAAAAAACTCACAAAATGGTTGTGCTCAACAACATCTGGTGCCAGGAGATTGGTCCCAATCCAAAGCGCCGTACTGATTATACTTGGTTCGCTTTTACCAAGCTTCTCTAACGCACGATACAGATCCGCCTCGATATTGAGTCCATTCTGTAGAAAAACATAGGTGGGCTGCGGGTGCTTGTCTGCGTAGGGGGAGGAAATGAGAGGTTTCAGGATGGCGGGCGTCGTCACGCGTTCTGGGATGGCCTTTGTCGTGACGAGGACGTAGGCGTACGAGCGATCGGCAGCCTCAGCAACGGACCTCACCACTTTCCAATGTAAGAACTCAGCAGGTAATTGCGAAAGAGGGGAAAGGCTATATACAAAACACTTACAACGGTCAGGCCGGAACCCAGTTATCTCCCCGTATTTCGCGCTCTTGATCGTTACGAAGATTAGATGCGAGCAATCACATCTCGGGTCGCAGAGTTGGACAGACCATTGACCGCGTCGAAGTTGCTACGCGCCACCGCCGTAACATGCGCACGTCGACTCCTCTTGAGAATGTACGAATCTAGAAACCAGATGGTGAAGAACGTGTCCAATGGCCCAAGGAAAGTTCACGCACACGTCACGCCCACTGCGCCGAATCCAACCACAAGAATGCTCGGGAGTTGTTGTCTTTCCATAAATATCACCTCGGTAGGATGGGGAGGCGAGGCGGCGTTCTGAGACGTTGAACTTTCAGAAAGTGAGGGTTTCGCTTGGGGGGCTGCATCAATATCTCAATAGCGGGCCGGCGGCCCGGGCATGGCCGATCTTAGGTAAGTAGGAGTGGTTGTTGATGGAATAAATCCATTCCATTCCGTTCATGCCAGGCTCCTAGAACCAGCCGTCGATATGAAGACGACTGAATCCGAGAGGTGGTGCAGCGTTGAATCAGAGGGATAATTTTGATTTTTAAATAATTGTAACAAATTCATCAGCCAATCATTGTATGCAAGACGTTCATTCTGTCTATCCGGAACGGCTACGGTGAGTGGTATGACATGGCACTTAAGCTTGAAAGTCGGGAGGGGAAGTCCGTATCGATTAGTGGTTAAATCATCTCGTTGTGGCTCCTACTCCGAGAAGCCGCAGGCTCGAATCCTGCTACGGACAGCTTTTTCTTGTTAAGTATCATTATTTATTTTATTTTCTCTATGTTTGTCGATACTTGCAATAAACGCGTCTGCCTTCCTTATCCGAGTCCTGCACACTTCCGTCTCAACGGCCATTATGGACTTGGCGCGTCAAGCGACCCCCAGCGAAAGCAGAGCATCAGCGTCATCCATGAATCCCAAGAAACGCGGTACTTCAGAATCCGAGGGCGACCTAGACAGACCCAGATCCTCCAAGAGGCAGAAGAAGGACGACACCGGCGCCTCTCCTGCCACGAAGGACAAGAAAAAGAGAAAGAAGAAGAAACGCAAAACGTCTGTGGTCGCAGCAACTTCTGAGTCAGAGGGTCGTACAAGGTCTAAGTCTAGGAGTGTTACGGTCGGAACGCAGAGTAGCGCGCGCGACGAATATGCCAGTATGCACCTCACCCTGGTTAATGCTGCGCCAGAAACGCAGGATTTCCCAACGATAGACGACACCGACGACGTGCCTAGAATCGTGAGTCCACCCCGATATCCCCTTACTAACATGACTTATTTCCTCTCACAACAGCCGTACGTCGACAAAGGAAAAGGGAAAGCCAAGGAAGAATCATCTCAGCCACCTACCGAGTTCATCCAATCTCCTCAAGCCAAAATAGCGCGATTACAACAAGAACTCGAATCCCAGTCTTTGGTATGATTATGCCATTACTTCCGTCAGAGTTCCCCCATTGACACAGCCTTGCGGATCTCAGCTTCTCCGGAAACATCAGTCACATCTTACTCAAGTCCACCAAGCCTTAACTTGTCAGATCTGCCTTGACCTCCTGCACAAACCCTTCGCACTCGCCCCCTGCGGCCACGTCGTTTGCCACGGCTGCCTCATCCGCTGGTTCACTGCCCCGGAAAACCCTGCCCCCCAGCACCCGCTCCAGGAGCCTGGCCGTCCCGGGACTTCACACGTCCACAAAAAGAAAAAATGCCCTATCTGTCGCGCACAGGTGACGGAGCGACCTGTCGAGGTTTGGGGCATTAAAGGAATGGTCGCGAGCATCGCGCGCAGCGGTCTAATCGAACTTCCCGCACCTCCACCATCCGACGCATCTGAGCCCTCCGCACCAACTGATGCAGACCCCTGGCGCGATATTTTCAGACGCACGACGGCCAATCGTTCGTTCTTCGACTTCTTTGCGCCGCGTCCGCCGCGGCATGTGGATGAAGCGGGCAGGGCCATGGAAGGCGGACTAGAGGAGATGGGTATGTACGATGCCGAGGATGGGGGCATATATCGGTGCATTGACTGCATGCATGAAATCTGGGACGGCGTGTGCTCGCGTTGTGAAAGAGAGTATGCTGGGCACCGGCGTCAAGGTGATGACGATGACGATGACGACGATGACGACGACGACGACGACGAGGGCGGTGGACTGGGCATGCATCTCGGGAGACAGAGGGCTAGGACGCTCCACGATCTTCTGAATCTTATGGGACGCGGTCCGGTCCCGTTACAAGACGGAGAAGACAGTGAGTCGGAGTTGGAGGATATGGTTGGCTTTGTCGGGGATGAGGAGGATGATGGGGATGAGGAGATCGAAGAGTTTGAAGGCCGTTATGCGGATGCTTTACCGCCGTGGTTTCCGCAACAAGCGCACCCGCTTCACTCACCAATCCTGCGGAGGCCCATCACCACTGCCGGAATTGCGAGGATCGAGGAAGAAGAGCAAGAGGACGAGGACGAGGAGGGATATGAGAGCAGCTTTATTGATGACGATGCGGAGAATGCACCCCCCAATGCGCGAGACATCGTGGAGGGGCTTCACCGAAATAGGCGTAGGGTAGCGCCGTGGACTGATTTCGAGGACGAGGATGGCGAAGTGGATATCGGGGGGGTCGCGAGGCGATTGCTAGTGCCACGCGATGGACATCTTGTGGTGGACGATCCCGACAACGAAGAAGAAGCGCGCTCAAGTTCCCCTGACATTCAAAGGGTTCGCAGACGCAATGGGTCGCGTGTCGTCGCGTCGTCGTTGAATATCGGGCGATCAGGCAGACGGAGGCAGCGGGTGTAAGCAAAATGGCTTCACCGGTTCTATCATACATGCCCTCATATGCTCTCCCAGAGAATCGGACGATGAGAATGACGACGACATACATCCGGAGTGCGTGGATTTTTATGAAGCGCTGAAATCTTACTAAGCCCTTTGTAGGTTCGTTGAAGGCCTCAGCTCCGAGGACAGTCACCACGAGTGAGTACTGTATTCCGCCATGAATAAGGAAGCCGAGTTTATATACAATCCTTCGCAGGTGGTCAGATGACGATGAGGATGGCGAAGGAAGGTCAGTGGAGTGTTACAGGCTTTCATTCCAGGGACTAACAGTAGGTCGCCTTTTCAGGGCGTATGAAGACGACGGGTCGAGGGCAGGCCCGTCACTGCGGCTTTTGAGGATGATGGAGGATGCAGTGCTCGAGCAGGACGACGACGACGACACTGAAGACCCAGCTGGTGGGGGGTGAGTCGTTTTGAAAGATTACTGAGGGGAGAGATGCCGAATATAACCTCGAGAGTTTACATAACGTTTGACTTATTCGCTGCTAAGTCTAATTTGATTCCAAATCACCTTTACCACGAACCACGACGAGGCCACCTGATGGAGCGGCGTCCTCCCTCTTACTGCGAAGCTATTGAAATACTATCTGCATACCACACACGCTTAGGCTGAAGGAATCATAACCTACTCATCTTTGCAAGGCGCTGGTTTCCGAATAAGGTAGGGCACGTTCAAGTTGCCAGCGTTGGAACATGCAACCTTTCATCGATATTGCCTCGAAAATCTCGTGCCCGCAACGTGGCGTCGCCTCCATTTCACGCATCACATCTCGCACGATGCAGCGAACCGCGCCTTACACGTCAGGTCTCTGCATGAGCCGACCACACATGTATGTGTATGGCTATGTCTATGTAACTATATCTCCTCGACTCAATCAATCCAACACACGCTCCACTGCACTCATCAGTATTTGTATTCAAATCCGCAACCACTCATCGTGTGCGCATCCGTTGCCACAACCTATGGACCCAAGCTCCAGTAACGTCAGACTGCGTTCCCACTCACGACAACAGTCGTCGTCTCTCAGTCGCATGCCCTCAATACACTGGATGTTTAGAAGCAACATACCACGCCGCCGCAACTCCTTTCTCCCTCCTGATATTCACAAGAGGAACTTCTTCGGAATGGGCGAGATTATTGGTGTTATTACTAAAGTAATGTCGCTCTCCACATACCAGTCTCTATTCGCTCAATCCCTGTCAATTAGCCCGGAGAGACAGTTCGGTCGCTCACTGAATCCAAGCGCCTGCTCGAGGAGGCCCGGCGAGAAATTGAAGAGAATCGAGAACGCTCTCAGCTTCGCCCCAAGCACACGTTCTCCCGGCTGCCTGGTTTCTTCTCTCGAAGCGCCGAGATTCAAGTCCTGGGGCGAACGCTCGAAGGCGAACCTTCCTTCACAGTTCTCTTAGGCGCAAGCTCTACTGGCAAGGTCGGTAGTCCATCGTATATCTCTTCGGTAAATCACTGATTTCATGTTATAGACGGCGTTGCTCAGAGAGGTCCTCTGCCACGAAAGGTACCATGTGCTCCATTTTGACTTGCGAATCGCAGGCTTTGCGGACCTTGCTAGCCTCTATCAGAGTCTGAGCCAGCAGATGGAACTCTACTTCGAGGAAATCGCGAAAAAAATGCCTGGTTACGAGGAGTTCGAAAAGGAGGCCTGGAGCTTCAAGGTACAAAAAAAGGTCCTCTGCCGCATGCCTTTCATTGATCTTTGGTGTTTACTAGTTTGACCGTCAAAACGTGGAACAGCGAATTGCAGAACAGTCAACCGAATCCAAAGTCCGCCAAGTCAAAACGAGCGATATAGCTCGCCTCATGGAGCTCTTTCAAGTAGGTTGGCCGAACCTTTAAATTTACCGGGACTACAGGTGACGAAAAGCATCTAGAGCTCGCTTCTGAAGTACTGGGAGTTTAAACCGTTCGAGGAGGAGGAAAATCACAATGACAGTGGTAGGCGACACTCATCAGACGCAACGTCGGACGTCACCCACGTCAATCCAGGCGCTACTGGGACAGCCTCCTCCAAGTCAAAGCGCTGGACGTTCCGAAGAGTGTCGAAACAAAAAGGAAGGGAGTCACTGAACCTGCCTCGAACGTCCAATGCGGAGACTGGACTGGAATCTGAACCAAAGAAGGAGAAACCTCCCAAGAAAATGCCAGTCAGTGTAAAACTAGCCTACTAAATTATCGGTCCCATTTATCTCCCGACGATGTAGGTCATCTTTTTCGACGAGGCCCATAAACTGTTTGTCCTAGTCAACCAGAACGTTGTAACCACACTGACACATCCACAGCCCGGCCCTTATCCAATCTACAGAGGCGATGAAGTGTCTCCTCGACTCGATGCTCGTGCTGACCAAGCAAGATCGCCTATGCCATGTCATCCATGCCACCAGCGATCCTTTCTATCAGACTTGGCTTCGTCAATTCAACGTAATGCAGCACTGCAAGGTACCGTCCTTTCACCAGACTTTGCATATATTCTGACATTATTATAGATTATCACGATTGGCGACTGTTCGAGGTCGGAGACGAAGGCTTTCTACCGGGAACAGATGCTTCCTGGCTTGCCAGAACGGCTGCGCCACGGGCTTAGGTTCGAATCTCTGTACGAGGCGTTCGGCGGGAAGCTGGCACATTGGCGTGATTATGTTACAGATTATGGTGAGCCGACTATTTCGATTTCTCAGCACGAGCCTGACGTGCCTGTGTTACCCCCTCAGTCAACTCCAACGGAAAAATTGACAGTACGTTTCTAGATCCTTCCGTTTCTCTGATGTCATTGACGCTTTCCTTAGTTAAACAGAGCTCACACTTCCTACAAGCGCACGCCCTCTTGAACCTCCACATCATCCACTCATCCCAATCTCCTGAAGCTCAAGAAGCAGCGACCACCGCCGCCGCAGC